CATCCTTTTTATGCAAAATTTCCATGATTTTCGGCAGTAAGTACACAACGTAGGTGTGAAGAAACAACCATTCATGCAATTAACCCAATTCAAGTTTTGTGCAAAAACGCATGATCGCACCGGCTCGCCTGGTGCGTTCCAGCCTAGGTTTACAAACAGGGCCATGGGCAAGCGGCATCGTTCTAAAATTTCAGCTTTCTAAACTTCCCAGTTCCAGAGCCGAATAAATCCCAGCCATAAAAATACTGTAAAACCGGAAAAACTGAAAAAGCAATTTAAGCACCACTCAAATCGAGAAAATAGATAAAAATAACTGTAAAATTAAAAATCGGGCAGGACTAAAATTAGGTATGTCCATGAAAGCATAAGTCGCAAATCATGTGTCGCACAAAAAGTATATCAGAAAGTTTTAATCTTTCAGCTGGCATTAATTGTGCCTAGCTCTTTTGGAATGTCGCATTACAAATTCAGCAAGAGGTTCTTCGTCTGTTTCGCAATTCTCACTGCTGCTAGATGTTTCCGTTTCATTCTGGCTGCTACCAATTGCGGTTTTCAAAAACACTTTGTCGACATTCCGAGAAGCAATGCCATACGGTTCAACCTGAAGTAATGTTGCTATAAGTCTGGCAGATCGACTGCGGGCAAACGAAGTACAGGCTCGACTCACCGGTTCATTAGTTTCGATAGTAAATTGGCGCTGGTTCAAGGCAGGAAGATTATTGCTTTCTTCGTTGAAAGAATGAGTCATCGGCAGTCTTGCTAGTGCACTGTTACTTTTGGCAGTACTTTACCACAGAGCTATTAATTCTTTCGCCTCGCAGAAAGAGAAAGAGAAAGAGAAACCAAACTAAAGAAAAGGTTCTGACTTTTGATTTTGACTTGCAGCTCAGATTTGATGGCCACACAACACAGTTAATCTAGGGCTACGTGATCTGACCATTCTCATAGAACACCGTACGCCTACGAGAAATTCCACAGAAATTCGGGATTTTTGGAGCTGTTTCTGTGCAATTCTGGATTGCGATACAAAGAGAGAGAAGAAAGAAGAGAAAGGAGTAAATGAATCCATACGTACTAAATGTTCAGACTAAGATTTCAAGCTTGGTAAAATCAAATTCTTCGGCATTTCTTAGGCGTCTCTGCGTCTTTTGAAATGCTGACGGATGTCAGGTTTTCTATTGTGTATTATACAAAAATGTCAGGATTTGAATTTCACAGTCTTCCAAGTACTGCATGAGCCTGAATTTGCACCCCAGAGCGGTCCTAAAGTTACGAAAATATCAATATTTTTTAAGCTTATGATCAGTAGTTTCACAGGTGAGATCCCTGCGTACCTAGCTTTACCATTTCCATTCGTAAAATATTAATTGCAAAACTGGTCATCATAGTGCTCTTTTTTTAATTTCGTATGTAACGAAGAAACAAAATTAAAGAAGAAATCACCAGTATATAAGTTATCTGCACCTAGCTTCTGGGATTACAAGATCATCTAGATTTCTGAATCTACATCTTGAAACAGAAATATATGAAAGTTGATTCCAGTTGTTTATCTGACAAAAAGATTTTACTGCACACGCATAAATTTCGTACGAGATAACTGGGACGTTATAGGAATCATTATATTACAAGAGATGAGAGAATAAAAACTTACGATACAACATTCATCGGAATCGCTGTCGGTACCAGCAGCTGAATTATCATCCTGACCGTCGCCTCCAATATTTTTACGGTTTAATGAAAAATCACTTTTTGGTACTTTGATCTTTTGGTATTGCAATTCAAAGCGCGGTACTCATATTATGCAGTTAGCAACCGCTCTAGTGCTTTGTCCGGCCTTGAGTTGTCTAGTGGCCGGTCTGCTTGCAGTCCTCATCAGTCAAGAAAATACTTGATTTTAAAGACGCTAGCAAATCTGTAATTCCCTTTTGCTGTTAAATATGAGAAAAGGAAATAATGCAGGAAACCCATTTGAACTGTAAGCGTGAAATCTTAGTCAATCGTCATACACATTAAAAGAGACTTGGCGATTCGTTGAAAATTGATGAACGTGAGCAGCAAACGATTCATTCAGCGCGACGTGGTGACTCACCACAGTTCTTGACGAAAGCGGTGGCTAGGTAGAGAGGCGAGTTCCGTCACTTGATTAGACCGTACTGGACCTTGTCTGCATTGAGAACTACACACAGGTGAATCGAAGAACTTTGCTAACCCGCGGCAAATAAGGTTGAGGCTTCAGATGCGAGTGGAACGAAGCAGTACCTGAATGATGTCCATTCGGCGCAGCGGTGCTTGATGATGCTACAGCTGTACAGGTGAAACAAAACGCTAATATAATCAATTTCATCTCGAAACATTATTTGGCTCGACGATAGAACCGAGTTTTATGGCAGTGTGACGAAAGACTATCCTAATTTGATATTCATAGACATGATCAGTGGCCTTACCAAATGCAAGAGCAACGGACGAAAGTTGGAGAGAATGAGAAAAGGAGCGAAGGGCAGGGAATACAGTTAATTTTTTGTACTGCAAAACACTTTTTATTCCCTCTCACTGAACAGAATATTTACGAAATGCATGAGTTACACAGGCATGGGCAACGTTTGATGATACGCGGGCCTGCTTTGCATACTTATTTAAGCTTTCAGTAAAACCGAGTTAGCAACGCACTAGGCTTGTCTGTGCGTTTTTGCGATCATGCGTTTTTGCGCTAATCTTAACACAGTCAGATCGTCAATAGGAATGGTTGTAGCTTTACATTTCAATAAGTGTAATTTATTCGCTTATATTTAAGTTTTGTCTGCGGGGGAGAAGGGTGTCGGCTGGGACGGTAGCGTTGCAACATGGCTTTTCCCTGCTGCTGAGTTGAAAGTGGATGACGAAGTTAAATCGATTCTGAAAGCACACGCACACGGTTATGCTCTTAATATTGTGCGTTTTTGCATTTGCATAAGATGCAAAACGCATTAGGACAAATAAATTTTTGTCAGGTTGTTCATCCAGTAACGAAAGTAAGCGGGAGCAAGTTAAAGTGAGTTCACGACGTGAACTTGTAACGCAAGATTGTTTAAATCTGGATTTATGTCAATGATACAGAATCTTAAAGTAGTTTTCCGGACTGTCGTCTGTTAGCCTCGCTCGCATTTTAGTTTCATTTATTTCCATGAAAGTGAAGAGGCGATGGCGGAGTACAAATCCCCGTTCGTCTAGTTAAACACCACATTCCGATTCCCTCCACGGGCGAGATTGAAATCGGTTGCGGGCCGGACTCGGCTCGCGGGCCAGCGGTTGCCCACAGAGGTGTAAAGCAATAGCCATTCGACCTGGTTGTTTCAAGTTTAGTGCAAAAACGCATGTGTTTTGCAGCGTGGGTTTTGTGTTATGACAATAAAACTGTTGTGGTGTCCTTTCCCAAGATTTGTTTAGAAGCAGTTCAAAGCCACTGAGGATACAGTTTATGACGTGCTGTTGATGAATGTGCGAGTAAGTATCTGTATCGCAGCCCCAATTGATGGCAGGTTTAACTCCCTGGCATGTGCCAGTATCAAAATATCATTGACATAAATGAACTAATTATACAAGAAATAATTGTTGCACTGGTGGATTTAATATTTTGGTGATAGTGAAATGCGATGGTGAAAGGGGAAAACAAGGAATAATAGACCATCAGGATTGTACGCAGGCCATGTGTGGGTGTTGTTTTATGATGCAGATTACCTTTATCTTTTAGGTGTAGTGGGGTGATATTTTTCAATGCTGTCTGTGTTTCATCCCTTAGCTGTAAACACAGACCGGACTATGCGTGTGGGTAAGAATGGGAATCGTCGGTACAGCCTCCTACCCGCCATCTATTGAAAAGACATGTAGCTAATGTTGGCGCAGCTTAGTCCGACCAGTGTATACTAATTTGCGCATCCAACACAAATAGTTAACATAGACTGATCAGGAAAGTTGATTTAACAATGTAATCCACCTACTC